TCACCTTGTGCTATTTCCTCCATAGGATCGCAGACGATTGGTTTCACTGGAAGATTCGCCGATATGAATCTACACTTCAACGTGGCACAATTACCCAGCGGAACAGCGTTGTACTTATTGGCGGGGTCGCAGAGACGAAAGTCTCTACAGTGAACCCGAGGTATTCGCGTACCCGTCAAAGCCGCCGCCTGCGTGCACCTGGACTTCTTACTAGCACGATAAGAGCGGACCTAACGGTATCACATAACTAACAGATATAAGATGTATGAAGGAATACCTCTTCAAGATCAACATTAGCGGTGATGACCTCGATCTCCTTGATGGCAAACTGTGACCCTTGAGCACGGACTTCACCATTCACGGCTATCAACGATGAACCATCAAAGTACCTACACATATTGGGAATAGGGTGTAGCTTCAAAATGGTAGGAAATGTCCGCATGTCTTGCGATGTTACTAAGATCATCAACTGTGAGTCTAGCAGTATTTCAATTAACTCGACGACCCTGCAGTATGCAAATATCGGATATTACAGTCTCCCGCCATCACAACCCATCGAGTTGGCATACAAATATACTCCTCCTGACTTGGACGTAGCACCTAGAGAGAAGCCCATCAAGATTAAGCATAACCCAGTAAAACATTGGAAGATATACACAAGTTCGACTACCTGTGCTGGTGAAAATGTGAAAATTTGGAAGAAATTCCCGGAAATTCTCCAAAATTCTCGTTATTCATACGGAATCGGATAAAAGTGTACAGGAGCCAACAAAGATTGCGCGAAATTTCCTCAATATTTCCATATTATCACCAACACACGTAGTTAAGCATGTACATATCTTCCCACACTGAGCCCAGTAGCCTTACCCGCAATTAGTTTCAGACGCTTCTTGAGCTTCCTTAATTCATGATGTGACCCACTACCATTGGCGATGATATCCACACCGTCAAGGGCCATAACTGAGAGCAACATCGAGTCCAATAGCCTAGTCACATTGTGGCCGAATCTTGCTTGTATGAGGGTTCTCAGGTGCCCACAGTTCCTCACAGGCCTCACAACCAACAGCGCAGTCCGCCAGTTGGACAACACCAAAGCCGAAGGGACATGTTTGTTGTCGAATATCTGAGACATACCATAAAACGCCTACATTACACATGGTGTATGCCCTACCAACAGGTTGAGCCTCTCGGACTACATCAGGCAGGAGCATCTCCTCGAGGCCTCGCTCCATCGGCCAGGGTGCGAACCACCTACCTCGGCACTAGTGTGTGATTGTTAATGCATATGCTTTCCTTAGTACCTGGACTCACGGTAATTACCATCATCTGCCAAGAGCATTTTGGGCCGCACTAACAGCACACGGCCACGATAGAGGAACACTCGACAGTTGTAACCGGTCGACTTGAATCTGAGAACAACGACTACGACTTCGCCGCCGACCACCTCACAACATCCCAGCATTACAAAGCTGGCATTCCTATGTCCAGGAGCATATCCAAATCTGAGGTTGCCGTCTACAAAGCCAACATATAACAATGAGAGGGCCGCAGTCCTATTACGATGATGTGCGCAAGAGACTCCCAGCAATGATGGAAAGTGTCCGTCTCAAGGAAATGGTCTTCACAACCATAGCCAGAGAGCTCCAATTCTGGACCAGTACTGAAGACGCCTCGACAAAGACGTTTTGTCCTGTCTACTTACCGGAACTTGGCATTTTTCTCATGAGCAATTCGTATGCTTTCAATAACCCTTCTCTCGTTGCCGTCGAAATCGAGAGCCCATTGGTCCAAGTTGCAAGTCGCGACCACAGCCATCAACTGGCCCACCATTAGAAAACGGATATTCTACTTCTATCCCTCATC